AGGAAACTGGGAGATGCCCAGGGGCAAAACATACAGTAAAAGGCCTTGGGGTAGACTTGAATATGGGCCTCTCCATTAGCCTTGTGGCATCTATTCAACCCAACGAACTATAGTGGCTCCCATTTAAACCCGATGTCCCAACCTTCTGCGTAACCTGAGAAATGTAACTGCACGTTGGGTCAATATCACAATGACTTGAATGCTGTGGACAGGTATGGTGTAGGATAAAAGGAGTTCCTGGTTACTATGGAAGTTAAGCTAGGTTACGTAGTTTGGTGGGAAAAGGCTAAATTTAGGCATTTACATTTAATTTCAGACATATTATTCTGAAAATTTACCTGTTGAGCATTTCTTTGCACAACGATACTCAGCATAATCCACATTTATTGAAGACAAGTTGCGTGCAGTAAGGGTGAAGCCCCTTACTTCACTTAACAAGGACCGCCGCTCCTCTCACGTCCTTGTTTAGCACCTAATCATTCTGTAGCTGATTTCCTTTCCGTACTGGAATCAGCTCAAGTGATCGTTCATCTTATTTGATGCAGCTGTTGAGGCCTCTGTGTCTACATGTGTGGAAGTGTTGTTTGAAGTCTGAGTCTCTCCTTTGATTGGTCACTTAAAGACAGAAGGAAAGTGATTTTTGATTGGTGAGCATGATAGGTGACATCATGGTCAGGTTTTTGGCTAAAGAAGTTTTAGTGTGTGTGTGTGTGTGTGTGTGTGTGTATAAACAGACTGACAGATCTGAAACACTGTGCAGAGTGACCATAAATCTAAATGTAAACAGACCTCCCAACACACACGCACATTCGCGGTATATCAGTGAATCAAGTTGACACATGAACTTGTTCTGTTTGAGTGTTTTTCTTTGTTCGTGTTGCCCTTTGTGTACAGTCTGTTTGAGTGTGTGTCCATGGCTACCATCAGCTGTACCATCACACACACTCACACATATGAGGGTTTGACGGTGGCAGCAGGAAAATTTGGGTTATGGTTCTCATTCAGTAGCACTCGAGTGGGCACAGTCAGTACGAACGAGGTGAGGCTAATTAATGAGGTTCAGATTGAAATCTGTTTTCAAAGGCAGCTTCTGTGGAGCAAATATAAACCTCCGCATTTTCAATCGCTCAGAAGCTTTCTTTTTTTCTTTCTGTAATAGATCGCCAGTTCTCAGTTCATTTTAAAGAGTCGGTTTTACCCAGTTTACATTTGCTGTTATTCTTTTTATTATTTAATCATTTAGGGTATTTGTTATGGGTGCTCATTCCGTTCTTCATAAACACAGGTGCCTCTTTGTGCTAATAAAGTTTATTAAATTGATAAAAACTGCAACCAAATACTTTTCAAATATATAAATGTATTTCTAATTTGTAGTTAATATCATAACTGCTTAAATTTGTTGTTTTTTTTCTCGAAAGTTTAACTAAAATTGAACTTTCCCCTTACTATATTAACCCTTATTGAGTCTTTTCATTTTAGTGTGACCTGGATGACCGAGTTGCAGTAGCAATATCCTCACTCAGCATCACCTCATGTTGCTTTAAACTACAAGGTAAAGACCCTACATACCTCCGACAGAGCCGGGCTCCAGAATGGGCAGCTATCTGCCTTAACTGATTGGGGTCGATGGGGGAAAACAGGAAAAAAGACATGCT